AGAGGAAGTGGAGGAGGAGGAAGAGGAGGGCGACGATGACGACGACGACGACGACGATGACTACGATGACGACGATGACGATGACGACGACGACGACGATGACGACGACGACGACGACGACGACGACGATCGCTGCGTGGAGGTGGCGAGGGTGGTGGCAACGCGCACGCTCGCGCGCTTGCTCGCGGGGTGCGAGCAGGAAGCGGAAGAAGAGGAAGACGCAGGCGGGCTGTAGACGTCGCCGGGCCAAAGTAATGGGAATTTCTTTCGCGTTTGCCGCTCTGTGTGTGTCTCTTCCTCGCTCGTCGCCGGCGAGCTTTTTTCCGGGAACCCTCTCTCGTTCGCATTCGACCCTTTCGACGAGAGAGCGCGGAGCGCGCGTCCCTCCCCGAAGGTGTATTACAATCGTTCGCGCAGAGGGTCGCGTCGTATTGCGGATGGTATTTCTTGTCTCTTTTTGCCTTTTTCTACTTCCTAATCCGCCGCGAAGGAGTATTTCCATGGTCGAGATTGAATAACGCGTATGCTCCGCGATGTCTGACGGGCGGGGAGGATAGTTTTCGGTGAGATTAACGATAAAGGGAGCAGACGACATTTCTGTTCCTTGCAAACCGAATGTCTGTACTTCTGAGAAGCAGAGATTTCGTTTCCTCCGAGGAAGACGGAGGTCGATCCGGTTCGTTCGTCGTCACGCGTTCATTCGATCAATTTCTCTTCTCCGTGTAAGACAATTTTGCGCGATATTGCTGAAGCAAAAGGGAAAGAGAAGCTGCGCTTTGTTTTTTTAATCTTGCGTAGCTCTCACGTCACACACACACACACACACACACACACACACACACACACACACACACACACACACAGCATGTCGGCCGGCGCGATCAAAGTTCCGGCATTAGGCGTGAACAGACAATTTAGCCGAATTCAGGTTTACGAGATGCTTTATTTTCTCCTCGGCTGTAGCACTCTCTACTTTTATTAAAGACAAAGGGACGGGGGTGGGAGCGGGTTTTTGTCCGGAGTTTATCACCGTCCTCCCAATTTAAGAGGCGCGACCGAGGCGGAATTTGTTGCAACTTGCTCCACTCCCCTCGAGGGTCAGTACGACGAAATATCGCGTCGCCGGTAACGCACGACGCGCGAGAGACGGTAAGGAAGCAACGGAGCGGCGAAAGGGCAAACTAAAGTAGAACAAACTATGCGTAAGACAATCACGGATAAACGCGGCTGGATAAAGTCCAAGGAATTTATCGTTCGGAAAAGATTGGCCGCCGCCGAGCCATCGGCGGCGGCGGCGGCGGCGACTGTACTTTCCGGTAAATTTCCGCAGTCGTAAATTCGAGTTGGTACATCGGCAAATTTCCATAAGAGAGAAAAATCCCGTGATTCACTCCGGCGCGTTCCTTGCGAATACGTTCGTCGAGCGACGATAAATATTCTCGCGCCCGGACACAATAGCTCGCGGCGCGGCCGGGCTTGACCGCCAGCCGGCGGGAATAGGCTGAAAATTTATTATACGGAAATTATACGCAAATGCGCATTACTCCTTCTCTCTCTCTCTCTCTCCCTCTCTCTCTCTCTCTCTTCCTCCGCCCCTCTCGCGAATTTTCCGCGGATGTTAATAAAAACGAGATTCGTGCCGCCGCGCGCGGGTTGAGCAGAGAGCACGCGTCGCTCTGATTAAAATTGCGTTTTAACGATCGCGCCAATTTATGACAAAGTTAAGGCCCAGAAGGAGGCCCTTCTCACTCCTCCTCCGATGCCTCCTTCTATCTCTCGTTTTCTCTCTCATCAAGCAAGTTTTGATTGAAGAAGTTTAACACGCCGCAACTGGAACGGCTCCGCGAAATTTCTTCCATTAACGGGAGTCGCTCGTAAACTCGCACGACGAGTATCGCGCGAAAGGCGTTGATTGCGCCAGCTTTAAAGATAGCTTTGGAAAAAACACCGCGCACCGACCGTGCGCGTCCGCGCGGGCTCTCGTCGCTCAGAGTCGCGATCGATCCGGCCGGATCTGTACTGCGTAATCGCGATAAAAATAAGATTGACATCGATGAATCACGATGGGCGGAGCGTAAATAGCGAGGTAAGGCGCCACGGTGATCAAATAAATCCGGGCTGCCGCGGAGGCAATTGTAAAATGCACCGAGACGGATGACACGACGAAAGTGGAAGCGCGGAGGAAAGGAGAGGAGAGGAGAGGATAGGAAAGGAGAGGATAGGAAAGGAGAGGAGAGGTGCGTCCTTTCGCAGTAAAAGTCAGGGAGATGGAGGAGAGAGAGTGAGAGAGAGAGAGAGAGAGAGAGAGAGAGAGAGAGAGAGAGAGAGAGAGAGAGAGAGAGAGAGAGAGAGAGAGAGCAGAATCGCTGGAACACGGCCAGGTTGCATTTTCAAATGGGCACCAATGCGCGCTGCCGCGAGCTCATGCCAGAAAGAATTAAACAGCGTCCTTTAAACCGTGAATGATAATCGCGCATCGCGATAGGCTTCGCCTAATGGAAACGTCCGCTCGCTGGGCAAATAGTCCGGCGATTGTGACGTTGCATTGTTCGGCTCACTCGCGGCTGATGATTCGCGTCTACCACAGCGCAAACCATCGGTATCGCAAGATGTCGGGATTTAACGAGCGAATAAAATTCACACTCGTTTGGCCTCCTCGCTCTCATTTGGTCCTTTTTCTCTCTCTCTCTCTCTCTTTCTCTCTTTCTGTCTCTCCCTCTTTCTGTCTTTCTCGCGTCCGCAAGTCTCGCGACGCAAGAGACGGCGGTTCCTCAGGAGAAAACGCCGCGGGGGAAAAATGTACGCGAGTCCGAAGAGGGAACGGGAGAACGAGAGAGAGAGAGAGAGAGAGAGAGAGAGAGATTTCGGTGCGGGATGCAGGTTTCACGGTGTCATGGCAACACCCGTCGAGATAGGGAACGTCTTCGACTCTCCGTTACAGCACCGACACGTCGGCCGGGAAGAAAAGGCAAGAACCTGCAGTAGCGGTGATGAAGAAGCGTGTTCTTCTCTCGCTCGACGGCAGCTTCCTCAAAAGGAGAATCGGCCACTCGATCGAGTTTCCCAGCCGACGCGCGGTGTCTCGCGCCTTTCGTTGCACGGCAGTCTTATCGGGCGTAGCGTGTGCCGAGCGTATCGGAAAAGCGATAAGAGAGAGAGAGAGAGAGAGAGAGAGAGAGAGCGCGAGACGGTGGCTGGCCAAGAATTACGTCGCGCGAGCCGACGACGATATTTCGCGACCGGATCTCGTTCGGTGCGAGGTTATAAGAGCTATCTGTTGATTTCTCCTCGCGACGACGCGCCATGATGAAATTTATACTTCACAGAAGCAGAAATTCGCCTTTCATGGCGAGAGCTCTCGACGAATCTTTCACTCGGCGAGAGAAAGAGAGCAAGAGAAAGAGAAGGGGGGAGAGGAGGAGGAGGAATAGAGAACAAAGTGCGCAACAAGGTGACCACAAAGCAAGTCACTCGTGGAAACTACGAAGCCGGCGCAATAAACGCGGCGGTTTTCTCCAGAGCGGCGAACCTACGCGGGCGCGTGAAGTTGAAGAGCCGGCGGTTGTTATCTGGAGAAACATCATGGAGACGTTGGCCGTACGTGTGAACACCCAGGCGACACGTGTATGTACACCTCTTTCCTGCGCGCACGGCTCTACAGTGTAGGGATAACTCGCCGTGGCGAGGAAGGAAAAGATCCGAACATCGCGATCCGCGCTGCGAGAGATCGGAATACGTTTCCGCGATTTCGTCGAGCGCAGAACGACGTGAGCCCACGTGGGATAAATTAATCGCGCGAGAGGCGATCGCATCGTGTTTTCCTTCCCGCGCGAAGGAGGCGCACGGGGCTATCCGATGAAACGATATTTGCGCCGCGACTCTCGTCGCGGAAAGGCGTCGCGTTCGCGCTGTCGCCGCATCATTTTTTATTTCGGCGGAGCCATCGATTGAGAGCGACGTGCGCACGCAATGTGTCATATTTCGCCCTCGCGCTCTCTCGCCCTCGTGCGCGAGTTTAGGATGTGTACGCGCGGGTGGGACGGCCGTCCGATTTGAGTCTGACAAATCTGAATTGTAAATCCGGGCGCAATTAAAAGTGTATCACCCGGCAGTGAAGGCCGCGCTGCTGCGCTTCGGACGGCCTGCCGGGCTTCGAATCCGCAATTAAGGCGAAACATTGTATAACGATTGCCGCTGGAAGGGTCGACGAGCGGCTCTCTTTCTCTCTCTCTCTCCCTCCCTCCCTCCCTCCCTCCCTCCCTTTCTCTCTTTCTTTCTCGTGCGTATCGAGTCCTCGCTGCACGAGTTTCTCCTTTATCGCGGAAATTAGCGCCCACCCGGAAATCGCGACGCGACCAATTATTAACCCGACGCGCGGCGCAGCGTAGCGTCGCCGCGCGCATGTAAATTACGTCTCGACCGGAATTACACGCGCTGCAAATTACGCGGCCGTCATAATTAATCATCGGTCCGTGCGAGAAACGGTCAATTAGTTGCATTATCGTTAAATCGGTTTCGCCGCGCGAGGTTATAAAAATGCGCCTTTAATCGTGAACTCTCTCTCTCTCTCTCTCTCTCTCCCTTCCTCGCGATAACAAGGTTGTTTCGTAAGGTATATATTTATCGCCGACGCACGAGCGCACCCCGCCGACGACGGCGCTTTCTCGACGGATCTATCATCATCGCGTCCTCCTATTTTTGTGTCGCGCATCGGCCTATTTTTGTTTCGCCGCTTGATCGCGTTTTCGCAAAACCGCGCGCGCTGCTCGGTGCAACGCGCGTCGCGCGACAGTGAAACACACGCGTCCTCGGCAGAGCACCTAAATTTAAGCCGACGTAAATGCGGATCGTATGAAGTGGCCTAGCGAGGTGGCAAATTTATCAAGCTGGAAAATTGCAGGTATATAAGCGAGAAAACGCGTATCGATATATAGGTCGCCCGTCCGGCCGCGTTGCTCGCTGATCGCGGGGAATTAGTGCATGCGATGGAAAAGGGAAGG